GTCTTTTTATGTTGGATAGACCGCCGTCGTATCTGTATCTTATGTCCGTTTCTCTTCCTGCAGTTTGGTGTCCCACTATAATGGAGAGCACTACCATGAATATGTTGAATAGGAGAGGCGCTGAGATACATCCTGGCTAACTCCTGTATTTGCTGGGAAGGAATTGCTCATCCATGATGTGATATACTCTTGACTTGTTGTTATGGAGGTTATTACACACTGTAAGAAATTTTTTGGGTACTCTAACTATCCTTTACTAACTACTCTTTTACTAATTCTCTACTACTAAATTTGTTGAGAAACTCCGTTGATTTTGAGGAATGGGGACTTGATCGTCGTATTGTTGTTCATCTCTGGTCCTATTAGCCAGCACTTCTTTTCCACTCTTTTACTGCCTTGATATACTTATTCTAAACAATCTCCTAAGAGCATCAATTTCTACTGTTGTGATCTTCCGCTTGCATTTATAATCTACCAAGGTTCAACTCAAGCCATACATAAATAAACTAATAAACGTAAATAGTTTGCCTAAATCGACTACTTTACTGCCTCCCCTTAATAAGAGCGCCTTCAAAAAAATCACGCGATGTCAAATCGGGTCGATGCGGCGGCTAGCATTTTAATCAATTCCATATTTAAATCCTCCAAAAATACGCGCCTTCTGGCCGCGGCTACCGCGCCCGCCGCTAAGGGCAGACGTAAACAACGATAAAGCGTAGCGAAGATTTCCCAGAGACACAACTTGTAATAATTTCAATTTAGAAAGGAATAAATATCGTCCAAATATATCTGAAAAGGAGCGCGCGTCGTCTTTCGTCTTTGCTGCTCCTGTTTTCCGACCGCGAAAGGCCGGTCGCGAAAACGTCGCACCATGAAAGTAAGATGCTGGGACGGTGTAAGCAGAAATTATCCATGCGTATACATATTTATTTTTTTATTTTAAAACTTACATATACATGTATGAAGACCAGAAGAAATCTTCCGTCAACTGGACTGGACCAACAAAGCATTAGAAATAGATGGGGAATATCTTAACCATCTTCGCCGATGGCATAGTCTTAATAGCCAATAGTCCTGAAGAACTACACGTACAAATTAACGAACAAAACACAACGAACTAAAAGAGAGGAAAAAAATCTAATGGGAGAAGTAGAAATGGCGATTTAAGACACGAAAAATGAAAAAGCAGCAGGGAACTACGGAATAACAGCTGAAATACTTAAGTAATATGCCGGTAGAAGAACTTCACTATATATGCTAAGACAATAATAGGAGCTTAGCTGAAACAAGGTATTGCCAAGCCTTAGATAGAAACTCTTGCTAATATATACAAAGAAGCTAAAGCGAGAGTAATGATATATGTATAAACTACCCCAGACATTCCAACTGGCAAAAGAGTACGACAAAGAGACACGATATCCCCAAAGCTGTTTACACCAATATTAGAAAAATTCTTCGGCCAACTGGACAGTACCAACAAAGGATTAAAAATAAATGGAGAATATCTTAACCATCTAAGATTCGCTGATGACAGAGTCCCAATTGCCAATGGCCCTAAAGAACTACACAAATTAGTCAGCAATAAAGTGGGCCTTAAAATGAACTAGCAAAAACTAAAGTAATGTACAACGAACTAGTGGACAGAAAATATATTATTTTAATAAATAACACGGCACTGGAAATAGTAGAAGAATACATATATTTGGGACAACTAAAACACAGATCGGGGTATTCTCTTCTTTCTCTACTAACAGAGATCAACAGTAGAATTAAGTTGGCATGGAGTACTTATGGAAGAAACTCAATCATATTCAAATCTAGAATGCCACTTTACCTAAAGAAGAAAAAATTCGATCAATGCACCAGTCATGACGTATGCGAAACCTGGATACCTAACTAAACGGGCATTATAAGGAAACTGCAAGTCGTACAACGCCCAATGGAGCGAAATATGTTCGGAATAACCAAAAAGTCCGTAAAAGAATAGAGTAGACACGATAAAAGACCCAAGTAATAGATGTCATCCACAGAGTCAAATCCCTCAAATGGCAATGGGGAGGACACTTGGCAAGAAGAACGGACAACAGATTGGCAAGAAGAACGATCAACGGACCCACGTGGAATTAAGAGACCTAGAAGAAAACCGAACCTGAGATGGAAGCATGATATTAGGAAATTAGTAGTGATAACTTGGCCCGCATAGCCAACAATAGACACCAATGAACCCAACTACAAAGAGCGAGTATCTAAATATGTGAGGGAGGCTACACCATAATTGAAAATGATTGAATAATCTGAAAATGATGATGATGATGATAGGTGAAGATATACGTTTTTCTGCTATCCGTCAAATAAAATATATCTGGCGCATTATAAGGCGCTAACCGTAACTGAAAATACCGGGGGTAAAAGTGTTTTCATTTATTTGTCTGAGGAAAGCATCACATGTTGCCTGCATACGTATCAATTAATAATTATTACTGTTTCATAGCATTTGTGAGATAAGAAAAAAAGTTTACTTCAAAAATTAGAATAAAAAAGCAAATAAAGTAAAAAAAGATGTATATTTTACATCTTTTATTAAATAATTTTTACGACGTGATTGACAATATCTATAAGTCATTTTAACGCCTAAGCATAAAAGTAATGTACTTATATATAATATATTATTAAACTGACATAAAGTGTCAAATTCAACAAGCGTCACCACAATTTCTCGATATATAATTACATACAAGGTGTTACTTTTAAATCTTTTAATACTATTTACTATTTGGAACGTTTGAAATTGTTTAAAAAATTATTGGTGGCGTTTGAAAACAAGTAGCATGTTCTATTCGGAGTAAAAATGACTTTTTGTGGCTCGTCTGTGTGTCTGCAGTCAAACGTACAGCAGGGTAGAGGCTCGCCACGAAAAGTGTCATTTTTACTCCTAATAAAACATATACTATTATTTTCTCTATATATCTCAATTATTCTCTTCTAATTAATTAAAGATATTTTTAAAAAGAATTCGGGAAATAGCTTTTATTTC